TTTTGTCGATTGGAAAGAGAATAAACAATTGAAGCAATTGAGTGAAATATTGAAGATCAGTGCAGCAGCAGCACCTGTGACATTTGTTGAATTTTTTGTAGAGGAGCTAGCTCGCAGAAAAGTTCCACACCCAAAGAGTCTGCCAGCTCAGTGGCTGTCTTCAAGCATCCGGACATCTCGGCTATCGATGAGTTCCTGCTGCCACCGGTGTCTCGACTCACGCATTCGTTCACCGTTCCGGACAGTATGGACTCGGACGGTCGCCATGCGGCAAATAATGCGGAAGCAGAGGATTTGTACGGCGATGAGTTTGTGCGAAATCATCGCAGAGCTCGTTACGCCCGTATGGCGGCACGTGATCGTGCACCGTCCAGAGGCGCCAAGTCGGATATTGCTGACTTTGTGGCTACCGGTGCGGGAGGACCGCCCTCGTATATGGGTGGCGGAGCTGCTGGTGGTGGGACTGGTGGTGTTCCAAGGTCGTACATGAAGGATTCGTTCTATGCTTACGATAACAGTTCGATTGGTGGTGCACCCGGCGCCTATTCGTCATCGTCGTATGCGTGAGTTGATGATTTCATTTCGAAGATGATGGACAGAGGTCGTGAAGGAAACTATTTTTATATAATCAAAAGTTATTCTGTCGAGAAAGCAATAGTGCGATTGGAGAAGAATTCCTTATTGTGATACGTACGGAAAGAGCGATTGAATCGAAATGAATTGATGGTTTAGACTCAATTATTATCCGAGTGGACGACATTCGCTGGGTCCAGTGCATGCGGGTGGAAATGGAACCGGCAGATATCCACTAGCATCTTCGAAGGATCAGTATGCTGCGTATGCAGCGGCAGCAGCTGCAGCTGCTGCAGCCGGAGGATTGGATCAGNTTGAGTGTATATCATTCAGTAATATCATTGAGTGTGTTTGCGTAATAAAAGATTTGATTTAAACGATAAAGTAACTGATAAATAAGTGAGATTCATATGTATAATGTGGTAGCAATAATAATAAAGTGATAGAAATTCATTGATGGTCAGTGTTGGTGTTTGTTTTGTGAAGCATAGATTGTTTAGTGAGAATCAGTTAGTTTATCGCAGTATTCTGTCCGATGGATTTGAGTTGACGATATCAGATTGGTTGTTCAGATATGAACGATCCGCGGGATATTATGGCAACATGTATGATGCATACTATAACCAGCAAGCACCACAAGCGTATGCAGAAAGTAAGGATGGTCGAGAGCGTGAATATAGCCGAGATAGGGATCAGGGCCAAGAGGAGGATGACGACGATGAATCGTCGGCAAACGATGAGGAAGAGGGCAGTTGGGAGAGTGACGACGAGATGGCACAGATTCATTATCAGCAACAAATGGTGAGTTGGCGAAGTTTTTGGTGTGTTATGGGGCCTCAGGCTCGTTCAGAAATAGCATTGTGCAGTGGGAACGTGGATGGCTAAGTATTGTTCGCATATCTCCGATTGATTGGAATTTGGTGTTTGTTGAGAATTTAATGCTTGACTTAAGTTTTTTTCTGGAATGCTTTTTTTCCAACTAAAATGGTATTTTTCATGAAGATGCGAATGCGTATGGGTGGATTGGAGACGGATCCAGAGGAGCGATACTACTTAGGCGTTATTCAGCTCTCTCAGGTTTAGTTTGTTCTTTTACTGAACAGAAGAAATTGACAAAGAAGTAGAAGAGAAACTGAAATGATTAAATACAACCAATTCAGAGCTGCTTTCAGTTCTATTATGAATTCTTATATGTCTTAATTTCATCATGAATATTCTTGTTGTCGTTATGGTTATTATCACTGCGTTGGTTATTATTGTATATGAGGACTGTACACAATTGAAATGAATTGATTGAATGAATGTTCAACGATGGAAAGGATGTGTTTTTAAGAATCGTGCCCTGCAACTGCTCTACAAGTACCCTCCACCGCAAGAATACTTCCATCTGCCGCCGATCGAACGAGTTGCATATCTCTTCTACTGTGCACTCTACAAGCACCACTTTCAACCGGTTTCGCTGTTCCACAAACGATTCAATCGTGAGTATTACAATTACACGTGTGATGGCGATTCCACTGAAATGGCACTTTGGAAGGTCGGTTAAGTTGNCGTGAGTATTACAATTACACGTGTGATGGCGATTCCACTGAAATGGCACTTTGGAAGGTCGGTTAAGTTGCGATTTGTTTTGAATTATGATGTTAAGTTGCGATTGTTTTGTTGTTATGAATGTTGTGATATTATTGTTTTGGTTAATATTATTGTTATTGAATGTTTTATTTTTGTTATTATTATTATTATTATTGTTATTATTATTGTGATTGGTTTTTCACTGGTGTTGGTGTTGAAATTGTTTTTGGGTTAATATTGCGATTATTATTGGCGTTGTTGCTTGTTATCATGTGCTATTTTGAATGCAAATCGCATTTGAAGCACACTATAATAATTTAGTTTTAATTTAGAATCTGAGAAGGAACCTTAATTTGAGAGATATTGATTTTAGATATGTAGACATACGCAAGATGAGTTTATTGCAAAACGTTCGTTGAGTCAGGCGAATCAACTAAAAGCGTACGAAATGTCACAAAAACAGTTGTTCAGTGATGATCGAGAGACACCGGATAGCAGGTTTGGCTTTGATTAATATTACTTTTACCTTTAATGATGTGGAAGTGAGGAATGTAACTTGTCTTCCATTATCATTTGTGGGGAATTCGATGGGGTTTGGTGGTCAACAAATGATTTTCAGTCTCAATGAAGTTGAGCTAATTGAGGCAATTTTGGAATGAGCAATTGTTCTGTTGTGTTCTGGTTTTATTGCGTATAGAGTATATTTTTGTGCTTTTTTTGTTTTCATCGAAGAGTTGCTGGTCTTTTTAAATTTATGATGAGAGCAGGCGATTACCATCTGA